ATTTCATACATCATTCATTCGACAAACATACACGGAGACCTAACTTGCTTCCAGGCACCATTCTCGGCACCAGGGGTACAGCAGTGAACAAAACAAAGCACTAGCCCTGGTGGGGTAGCTCAGTTGGTTAGAGCATTGTACCAATACTCCAAGGTTGTGGGTTCAATTCCCTATCAGGGGACATACAAGAAGCAGCCAATGAATGCATAAATAAGTGGATCAACAAAATGATGTTTCTCTCTCTCTCTTTCCCTTCCTCTCTCTCTAAAAACTTCAATCAATAATTTTTTTTTAAGAAAAGCACTACCCCATGTGTTTGCGACACCGTGCCCGTAGGTGTCGCCTGTGTGTAAGAGTATGCATGTGTGGACTGTGTTATGCATGCTGTGGACCTGCAGTGTTTGTGGCTCTTAAACACACTGTCCATGTGTGGGACTGTGTTATGCATGCTGTGGACCTGCAGTGTTTGTGGCTCTTAAACACACTGTCCATTGAATTCCAGCCCCGTGTGACCTGCTAATAAAGGGCATCTTAGAGTTAATTAGGCCAACAGGCTGTGTCTATGCACTAATGAGAAGAAGCCCTCCCCAGGAGCTCCCTGCCCACCCTTCCCACCTCACCNGTGTGGGACTGTGTTATGCATGCTGTGGACCTGCAGTGTTTGTGGCTCTTAAACACACTGTCCATTGAATTCCAGCCCCGTGTGACCTGCTAATAAAGGGCATCTTAGAGTTAATTAGGCCAACAGGCTGTGTCTATGCACTGAGAAGAAGCCCTCCCCAGGAGCTCCCTGCCCACCCTTCCCACCTCACCAACTGTCTCTGCCTGGCCCAGGTTTTGCCTTTTTAACCCAAAGACAACATCCATCCACATGAGATTTTCTCTGGTGAGTACATCTGTCTCCCCCTCTCTTCTCTGCCTCCCTGCATCTCAGAGAGAAAGGGCAAAGGAATAGGGAAGGGGGAGAAAGTCATTTTCTGTGAGTTCCCACCACGTGTCAGTTGTGTGGGGGCAGCTTACAAACATCAGGGGTAGTTGTTGGAAGGGCTTCCTCTGTGCCAGGCACCGTGCACTGGTCTCTGTTGGCTGGGGCAGTAAGGACGCCAGCCCAACGAGGTTGCCAACATCCATCACACTCAGTGTCTTCTCAGGACACCTCTCAAGGGCACGACATGTCTCACTGCACAGCAGAGAAACAGGGAGATTGCCCATATCTAAAAGTGACAGAGGTGAGATTCAGATCCAGCAGTATGAGATTCCAGATGCAGGGGGTGGGGCCCAGATGCAGGGGGGTGGGGCCCAGGTGCAGGGGTTCTCCACCTTAAGGGTTCCCTGAAATGCCTTCCCCATCAAACAGGAGGCACCTTCTCCGGGCAGGATTAGTGCAGTCCAGCTTCTTCCCATCAGAGCTCACCCTCAAGGCCTTTCTCACATCATCAATGTGTCTCTGGGCCTGCCCCAGGCTGGGAGACCCCACCCTGCCTCCCTGATACCCTCTTCATCTGTATAGCCCAGCACCAAACAGCAGCTGGCACAGAGCAGTGTCTCAGTGATGATTCTTGAATTTAAAACAAAGGTTAGTGGACTTCTGCCTGGGAGAAAGCTGTCCCCTACCCCAGCTCTCGCCCTGATGCTGGACAATTCAGTTCCTCCTCATTGTCTCTGGTGCCTCTCAAGCTGATGCCCCAGTGCTGGGGCTGAGGGAGGGAGTTCGAGTGCATGTCTACAGCCGGTACCAGGATGACTATGAGGTGATGTCCCCCAGGGTACAGGAAAACACATATGGTCGCAGCTATTAGGGACCGCCCCACACGGGCCCCAGCGTAACGCATGTGGTAGTGCAGGAGGACCCCTGATACAGCTCTGCCGCCCGCTGGCCATGGGCACGCTCCCTGGGATCACCACCCTTGCAGCGCTTGGCCCCCTCCTGTGGTCCTCCTGTTGGTTCTGAGCCCTGAGACTCAGAGCACGGCCGCTGCGCATAGAACAACCCAGCTCTTTGCCTTCTTGCAGGCACAGGCCAGGTAAGGAGAAAGGTGAGAAAAGGGCATCCAAGTGGGGGCAATTGATGGAGCAAAGGCATTTTGACTGGAAACATAATTTGTCAGCCACGACATTTCCAAAGGTAACTGAAGCCCAGAGAACGGAAGGCCACTGAGGAGCAGAGAGAGAAGAGATACTGGAGAGCAGTTCCAAGAAGCAACAGTGGGGAATTTCAGGAATGTCTGAGTCCCTCCCACACACGGCCAGGGATGGGAGGACAAGCAGGGGGTCAGAGTGGACCTGTGGTTCTCCCCTGAGAGGAAGCCAGGATTCTGGTCTCAGCACCCTGGGAGGAGTGAACTCCTAAGCATCCTGGACACATTAGAGGCAGCCTGGAAAGGGCGGAGCCCAGCCAATGGCCCTGCTAAACACAGCTCCTCCTCCTCCTAGAACCAGCAACACACCCAAGCTGCGGCCCACTCGCAGGCTCTGTCCCAGGAACAGGCTTCCTTCTGGTTCTGACATGACTTCCAGCTGCCTGCTGTGTCCACTGCTGGCTGTCAGGAGCCAGTACCTGGAGATCCCTGAGGAGTAGCCACTCAGGTAAGGTTATCTGCCAAATGTACTCTGTCCCTTGGTATGCCTGGCAGAGGGAAACTTCTCTGGTGGAGAGTGGAGGGAGGTGGCCTGGCCACATCCACCACCCTGGTTCCTGATGGTAGAGAAGTAAAGGGCTCCTCCTTCCTCTGCTCTGGGGTTTTCCCACTCTCCCCAGCTGAGCAGAGGTGGGAGCCAGGGACTGAGTGGAGAGGGGCTGCAGGGAAACCTGGAGCTGGGCAAGCTGAACAGCTCTGCCTGGGCCTGCACAGCCCTACCCTGCCCCACCCCAGGTGGGCTGGGCATAGAGCCCCTGGGGAGTAAGGGTTGGAGCCTCCCTGGTTGTTCCTGAGAAGATGCCAGGAGTTCCACCCACTTTTGGCAGGACTGAGCAAAGACAAGCTGATGATTCAGAGCGGGAGCCCCACGTACCAGTGAAGGGTGGTGTAGACAGAACAGTGGAGAGAGAGGGTAGGGAGCAGAGACACCCTGGCCTCCCTCGACCAGAACCTACATAGTATAGGAGGGAGTGGGCACAGACCAGGCACCAAGGCAGCTTTCCAGGAAAAGGGCCCCGCCCCAGAGTGTGGGTTCTGGAGCCAGCCGGCCTGAGTTCCAATCTCAGTTCTGCTGCTTACCAGCTGTGTAACTGTGAGCAAATGAATTAACCTCTCTGTGCTCCACTTTCCTCATCTGTAAACTGGGAATAAAAATTATCACGGCCCTTCCTACAGTTGCCGCTGTATTGATTCGTGCAAAGTGCTCAGAACAGTGCCTAGCGCTGCGCTTTGTAAACGCTCAACAAATACTGGCTCTTACCACTACCCTGCTCAATTGCTGCAGATCCTGCAGGGGGTCAGGACATCCTGGTGAACTTCAGCCTGGACCAGCAGTCGAAAGGGCATCAGGAACCCCTCATAGCAAGAGGCTGTGCAGACAAGCTCCCTGAGGTTCTGGGGGCCCTATAAGGTGGGATTGGTGCATGGGTCTCTCCCCCTAAGAACCAGCCAGAGGAATTCCAAGAGAGAAAGTGGGCACCCCTCACTGGAAACAGCAGTCACATCCTTAAATGGAAGTAAACCTGATTCTTGTGTGTTTAGCACACCAAACTCACCAGCAGAGGTAACAAAAGCAGCATTGCCCATGGTGTCTTGACTAGGCTATTCCACAGGATGAAAATGGAGCCTGTGGTCAAAAGAGTTTGGACAATACCACGTATTCCGCCCCCCTCCGGAGAGTCACGACATGAGTTCATCAGCATGGCCAAGTAAGGGGACCTATTTAACTTTGCAAATGCTATGTTTGCCTCCTTTTTTTTTTTTTTTTTTTTTTTTTTTTTTTTTTTTTTTTTTTTTTTTTGGAGGGGGG